AAATTCAAACATTTTTATAATACTATACTACAAATGCCTGACAAAATAACGCGAACTCTTCCATACTATATACAAGTTTTGCATTGGACATCATTTCTAGTTGTTTCAAGCATGATCTTTCAAATTGTGCCAACAGTTTTGCCATGTAAAATCTTGCCGCTAAAAAACATATTGTTTACATAAAGATAGTAAGGAAGTGCTCGAATTATTTTGTCAGTTATCTATATTTCATAAGTCTGATGTTATTTACAATAATACACCATGTTATCTATGTAATACCAATGAGATATAATTTATTTGATATTATTTATTACATGTCATGAGGTCCCATACGGAGAAAGTAATTTTATTATAGATTTGATCTACATAAAGTTTATAACTCTTAAACAATTTTTAAGTGGACACTGCAGCCAAAAGTTTAAAAAAAATAACAAAAATGAATTTTTAAAAAAATAATTTGAGCTGTCCCATTTTCCATCGCATTAAGTTCTCAGCAAAACAGCGTCTTTACAGTCTTAAATAGTAAAATTAAATTATGAAAACGATTTTTTAGGTTTTTTATCTTTTACATTTGCTATAAATGCCCCAGAAAATCAAGTTTAATTTGCTTAAACAATATTTCATTTCTAATTATGTGATTCGAGAAAACATAAAAAGCAATTATGTTGTCCAGCTTTATAGATATAATATTTTTAAAACTTTTTTAAGCCTTTGTATTTTTTTATGATTTTCTATGAGAACTTCCCGGGTGCTAATTTACAATCCAATAGCCTTTAACGACTAGCTCTCCTCCTTTATGGAAATTTTCCTCTTAGTTGTAATTGTTCGCAATCATAATGAAAGCTTTTGATTCTTTCGAAACTTGTTACAAATTTTTTTTAAAAAATCAAAAATTATGTTTTTCTCAATTTAAAAAAAGTGGCAAACATTGTTTCTTAGGCTCTGAAAATTTAAGTTTTTTAATCACTTCAAAACTCTACAAGATTTTTTTTATAGACATTTGCCGTATAAAATAAAATTAAGTAAAAATATTTTTAAAAAAGCGTGATCAGAAGCTTGTGCTTTTAATTATAATAAAACAAGAATAATTATTACAATTAATTAATTAATTACTGATTTTTTGTTCCAAGTTCGATTCGTTTATAATTCAGTGTCCGTAGATAATTATAAGAATGTAGAGTTTTACCCTTTCAGGTGTAGTGTTCCCTTTTCGTAATTTTTAGAACTATTCAAAGTAGTGATTCCAGATGTTAGCTCAACATGTAATAAAAAAACATATAGTCTTGAATTATATTGTCCACATTTAGCGCACAGCACTTATCTGCTACGAGAACATTTGCATATGAATTGCTAACTTCGAGTTCGTAAACTTGCTTTGACATGCTTTACATGCCTTTTATTTCACATAACACAACGAATACGAAAAACGAGTACACTTAAATTCCTTTAAAATACTTTAAAAAAATCATATCAGTAAATTCAGTAATGAATATGATGATCATGAGGAAAATTTCGACTTTCTGCTCTGCAGTACGAAATTCGATTGCTTCTTGTGACATCTATATACAGCTTGGAATCTTGAATTAAAGAATAGATCGAAGTCTGCAAAGAAAACATATTTCTCATGTTAATAAATGATTCAAAATTAAATAATTTTTCATTTCAGTTTTTAATGAATTGTAAACCGAAGATTATTTGCCAGCTTTTGGGGAAATAATTTTTGCCCCTACGAATGATTTATGACACTGATGAGTTTAACTAAGCAATAGAGGAGACAATTCGATTAAATCGTCAAATGTACTTATGTTTTACTAAACTGAAAATAATATACAATAATCTTCTTCTTTGTCAGCGCAACAGCCCCTTGCATATCTTGGCTGCCTCAACTGCTGACAAATGCCAGCGCCCCCTATCCATGGCAACTCCCTTCCAATTACTAATCTTTAGGGTTTTCAGGTCATTTTCGATGTCTTTGGGCGATCTAGTAAGGGGTCTGCTACTGGAACGTGACCCCTAGGGTTTCTTAAAGGTGACGATTCTCATGGCGCTATTTTCAGGGCTTCTCCATAGATGGGCCAGCCATCTCAGTCTATTACTGCGGATTATTTTTGTAATTTGGGACTGCTTATAGAGTTAATATACGATAATACGCATTAAAGATAGTTTTTAAAACGGCGCTGTAAACTATATCTGACTCGATATCAAAAATTAAACAAGAAAGGAAGAAAGTCCTCTTTGACATCTTGATAAATAAGTGCTTAACTGACGCGAACAAAGATCTTTGAGGTGTAGAGAGGACAATGTTTATTTCTTTGTTTAATATAGATATGTGTCGGGGAGTCAGAAAAATTTCATTTTAACATATTTTGGACCGGTGCCGAGTTATTTCGTCTCTTCATGCTCAAATATTGTTAACTCATGACGAGTTAACTCATGGTTGCACTTGTTTTGTCTTTTTCAACTTATAAATCCCACTGAGATGTATTGCAAAAGCTTTGCGTATCGTTAAGGTGGGAAACACTAGGGAGCTAGCCTTAGAGTTCTGGTCTCTTCCCATGATATTTCGACGTCTTTAAATAAACAAATAAGTACTAGAATTTAATTTCATGAATATTTAGTTTCTTAATTTAATAATTTAATTTTAACCACTACCTTAAACTAATAATATATGTTATTTGTTGAGATCGAATATCTCATGAACAGTCCTTTTAAACAATAAACTGAAAGGGAAAAAAATGAGTTTAACTAGTTTTAATCTTTTTACTGATTACAGTAATTTGTTGGTCACCAATTTTTAAAATTTTAGGAGCACTCTCTTTCACTGTATACTACAAGTGGTATTAATAATCTTCAAAGCGACTGGAAAATTTTCTGTTTTAGCAAACTTGAGTTTTTCCATGTAAGAAATGTAAAACTTATATAGATATTTATTTTACTTACAGATTCAATGTGGGAATAAAAAAAACTTGTCACATAAGCACTAAAACTAGAAATAAATTTCACAAATAAAGGCACCAGGCTATACATAAATGTTATTTATTGATTCATCTTAAGGAGCTAGTATTCAAGTGACACAAAATCGTTGTGCTCCTCTATAAAAGTTAGAGAAAATCTTGCAAAGTAAATCTGTAAAATGTTTCATTTTAGGGAATAAGGGAAATCTTAGTAATTGTAATTGGTCTATTAAATAGGACTAGGGAAATAGTCTTCCCCATTAATTAGTTAAAGGGAAACATGTCAAACTGCTAATTAATGCATACTTGAACTAAAAATAGATTAAAAGACAGGGTGTGAATTTCAAAGTGTGAGAAAGAGTAGAAAGAGTGTTTTCGTTTTGAATAATAAATTAAGAGGAGGATTTACCGAAAAGGCATAACATAAAAAGATTAATTGAAGCAATATATTTCATAAGTCTGATGT